TAAAAATGTAACAAGTATTTAATAATTCTTAAATATTAATTTCTAATTATATATCAGAGACACATTATTTTTTTCTGTTTTGAGATGTGAGTTCAGCCACGGTAAACTTTGGGAGGGAAATTTTGAAACTGAGAAATTCAGTAAATTACAGTAAGACATAATTATATCATCAATCAATAAGAATTCATAGAACATACAATTCACTGAATAATAAGTATTCTAAAAAATAAACTTTGTAGATCACGTGATTTATTCAATAATTTTGAGTCCTTACAAGTGCACATATCTTTCAGAATAACTTTAATTCTTTGGAATCCGAACTTATATCACTAAATAACTTAAATTCTTTGAAATATTCAAAATTTATAGAACACAATTTACTGCATAACTTTAATTCTTTGAAACATAAAAAAACACAGCTTACTCAGTAACTATGTTTCTTTGAACAATTCAAACTTAAGTGAATAACTCTGATTTTTTCCTCTCTCAAAAATTCGAACTATATAGAACACAGTAAATTGAATACTTGATTCTTGAAAATTGTCTTCAAGTTGATATGCCGAATTTCTTGACGTAACGTTATTTAGATCTGTCTTGTTAGTACCTCAAAATGTTGAAATTTTACAGATAATAATCTATTTATCAGTTTAAAATGTTATCAATAACTGAAACAAGAAAAACTATTATAACAATCCCTCGTGTATTAGGACGACACCAATTTAACACGTGCGCCAATTCTATTACAAAAGGAAACACACGTTAATGTTAGACCTCGATATTTAGTTATATCTCTATATTTAATGGACTCATGACGAATTCTATTAACGAACCCAAAGTTACTGATTTACAGAAAAGAACAAAAAGAGACTGTGATATCAAGCACACTTTCATTTCCAGATATGATCTTATTGCGTTAACGTGTCGTTTTGATGAACATTAGTCCCCAAGTGTAAGGAGATATAAAAATGAAAATCATTTCCACTGTCAAAATAACTCACTGTTTTCATGTGTTTTATTATTTCTGAAATATGAGAAAAATTACCATTTTATTGTAACTCTAGATGAATACATATCTCTAAACTGTATCTTTATATGTGAATGCGATATAAAATCTCAAATGAATTTCATAATTTTCAATATAATATTTAAATGTTTTACTGAAATCAGATAACATTAAAGACGGCACAATAGCTCTTCGCTACTGGAAAGATATATCTATGCAATCAACTCATTAGATCTATGTAGGGACACTTAAATACAATATTATTCAGTTTTCACGTATGGGGAAAGCTCTAAATGTTAGTATGAGTTTTAACGAGCAAGGGAAGCGTTGAAATGGGTTATCATTGTATCATAGCGAGCTCGATAAAAAACATTTTATTATGATGAATACAAAATGTAACTATTAATTTATATGCGTTTTATACGTACATTACTTGAATCAGAAAAATGTCTAACATTGTAACGAAATGAAGCGGTGCACAGGGTAAAGAGGGGTAATAAATAATCTTTCATTTTTTTAAGTTTTGAAATTTGAATAATTCATCAGAATGTTATTTTCTTTCCCTTTGTGTAATTTGACACGCAAAATATTCATTGACAGTATTTCAGTCATCCACTCGATAATATATTTTTCTTTTTTTTCTTCTTCTTTTTTTCCTCACTTGGTATTCTATTATTTTGTTGTTGTTTTTTTAAATTGTTCCAATTCGTTTAATTATCTGGATGCTGCCGTTGATAATGTTAAATATGCCAGTTAATATTGCCAATCAGAGCCGCCTGCGTCACCAGTATAGAGTAAGCCAGGCCAGCCTGTGTCACCAGTATTAAAGGCAGCCAGACTTGCCTGTGTCACCAGTATAAGTCTGCCAGGCCAGCCTGCGTCACCAGTATCCAGTCAGCCAGGCGAGCCCGTGTCACCAGTATACCTTCAGCCAGGCCAGCCTGTGTCACCAGTATAAAATGCTAGCCAGGCGTGTCTGTATCACCAGTATACAGTCAGTCAGGCTAGCCTGTGTCACCATTATACAGTGAACCAGGCCAGCCTGTGTCACCAGTATATTCATGTCAGCCAGGTCAGTCTGTGTCACCAGTATACAGTCAGTCAGGCTAGCCTGTGTCACCAGTATACAGTCAGCCAGGCCAGCCTGTGTCACCAAGACAGTCAGCCAGGTAAGCCTGTGTCACCAGTATACAGTGAACCAGGCCAGCCTGTGTCACCAGTATAAGTCAGCCAGGCTAGCCTGTGTCACCAGTATAAGTCAGCCAGGCCAGCCTGTGTCACCAGTATAAGTCAGCCAGGCCAGCCTGCGTCACCAATATACAGTCAGACAGGCCAGCCTGCGTCACCAATATCCAGTCAGCCAGGCCAGCCTGTGTCACAAGTAAACAGTCAGTCAAGCAAGCCTGTGTCACCAGTGTACAGTCAGACAGGCCAGCCTGTGTCACCAGTATACAGTCAGTCAGGCTAGCCTGTGTCACCAGTATACAGTCAGCCAGGCCAGCCTGTGTCACCAAGATACAGTCAGCCAGGTAAGCCTGTATACAGTGAACCAGGCCAGCCTGTGTCACCAGTATAAGTCAGCCAGGCCAGCCTGTGTCACCAGTATAAGTCAGCCAGGCCAGCCTGTGTCACCAATATCCAGTCAACCAGGCCAGCCTGTGTCACCAGTATAAGTCAGCCAGGCCAGCCTGTGTCACCAGTATAAGTCAGCCAGGCCAGCCTGTGTCACCAATATCCAGTCAGCCAGGCCAGCCTGTGTTACCAGTATAAGTCAGCCAGGCCAGCCTGTGTCACCAGTATAAGTCAGCAAGGCCAGCCTGCGTCACCAATATCCAGTCAGCCAGGCCAGCCTGTGTCACCAGTATAAGTCAGCCAGGCCAGCCTGCGTCACCAATATCCAGTCAGCCAGGCCAGCCTGTGTCACAAGTAAACAGTCAGTCAAGCAAGCCTGTGTCACCAGTGTACAGTCAGACAGGCCAGCTTGTCCATTGACAACACCAGTGCAATTATAATTAGCAGCAGGCAGCCTGTTACGATAAAATGTCATCAAGCATCTGTTCACTTCTAGCTCTAAAGCTTGTACACCCAAGTCTTAAACGAGCATTTGAAGTCAATGTTAGAGTCCTTCAGACAAACCTGTACATCTGAATCAAGACGAGCCTACACTACTTGCTTTAAATTTTATAATTTTGATTTTTAACCAAATCCGTCACCTTTAAAATGGACTGGTCCAAATTCTAAGAAGGACAAATACATTACATTGTACTTAAATTTACCTTGGTTAGGTTTTAAGCGTAAATTTTAGTAAAAATCGAAATGCTCCCGTAGCTTTCTGCAGTACAAATATCATCGTCTATATTTGTATGGTATCAAGCAATAAATGTCAAAAGTCCACTGCAGTTATATCAAATCATAAATTTATGCATGTTAATGTTTGTAGAGGCATTTACTTTTATGGGATGTCATCATCAGTAAAAAATATAAATAACTTTAATTAATTATTTAGTCACTGCGGTATCTGAGTTGGTAACTTTTTATTAATTGAAATTAATTTGGCATTCAAAAAAGTATAAAGGAACTAATTGAGGGCGTAATTTCAGAGCGGGATACAACATATTGTGAGCCTTATCAATCGTTGATGTGACAGCGCCCTCTAGTGAAATATATTCTTTTTAAAACGTCTTCTTGATTACCTAATTGAGCGAAACGAATAAAGTTTCCGTGTTTTTATTCACTTGTCAGTATTCGATGACTTATGATGTAACTAAATCCACGCAATTTCATTGGAACAATATCCGCACGTTACCTGGTTACCACACAGGTGTGATTATTATCCAATCAGGAACTAGCATTGTATCATCTCCTTAACAGAGCATCGTATCTTCATAGTTACATCTTTAACATGTTTATGGCGTTTTTTTATTATCAATATCACACTTTCTCTAATCATTGACGTGAGAAATAGTCCCTATCATATCGAATTCGTTTGTCAAACAAGAGACAGGACAAAAAGTTTTATTTCAATATTTTATTTCACTGTAGAAAACTATGATGTATTGGACCGGGTTATTGAAAAAGATGAGCGAAGCTGTTTTGCATAATGAATGTATTGTCGCCAATTAAGGTTTGTTTATGATGTGTGGCGAGTTGTTTAGTGGAGGAATATTATACAGCTGTTTAAATCGGGAAACATTTTCTCATTAATCATTATACATCTTTGTGTTACATGTAACCAAAAACTTGTCATCTTAGAAATTGGAAAAGTTGAAGCATACCCCGCCCTGTTAGCTGATACTATCTTTAGTCTATTTAATCATAAATTTACAACCGTTACCTTTCTTTTAAAGTCATATTTTCGACAATTAAAAATGTTAGCTGTACCGATTACAATACAAATATTTGGACTCGTGCCATGTCGTAATAACAACATAAATAAAAGAACATATTGATATCTATTTATGTAGGATATGGAATCATATAAACATTTTTTACATTAAAACCGCAAGCAATGCCTAATTCATGTTACAGATAAAAAATCATAACTTCGATTCATTCAAATTTAGTATTTTTTCTTGTTTAATTGAAGTATAATAAAAACGATAAATGGTTGTCAATTCTCGATCCCGTTTGCATGAAGGATTATATGAAACTCGCCATATTGATATTCTTTTTTTCTCTAAATGACGTCACAGAGGAAACACCCACTCACGTGACAAAAATATACACGACAGAACGCAAGAAAGGCATTTGGGTGTAAATGGGTTTACCCGAAATAAGTCGATATTTTCCGATTCATTAGGGTTACGATAACAAAAATATAAACACCCGATGAAGCCCTATCTTCATTTCATTTGCAATGAACCTCCATGACAGTTTCTCTTTCAGATTTGCAAGTAACAAAAGTGAACGAAAGTTAAAGTTATATCTCAGATCATAATACACATCTATAGATGCAATGAATATTCAATATTCATCAATGTCCATACTTTATTTTCAGTGCTCGACCCGGGAGACCCCCGAAACGAAGCCCATCTCTGCATGCCAGTCCTGAAACAATTGACAAGTTAAAGAAGACGAGATTTGATGGTACAGACTACTACAATGCTTCCCGCTTCTTTGGTAAACATTTTTTCTGTGTTTCTATCTTGTGTTGTTGTTTCTTTTTATGTTTTGTTTTTACCGAGTCAAGTTCGAAATTGTCTGAATATAGAGAGATCTATCTTTATTTCATGGCTGACAGTTCATGACTCTTTCCGTTAATAGGCAGTCAAACTAAGCTCTAACCGACAATTAAAGAATTAAAGAAGATTAAAGAATTAAACGCCTGTCCCAAAAAGTCTTTGTTGGGATGAAAAACAATACTAAGTGTTCAGTTTGTTCTGATAAATGAAGAGAAACTTTCTGATATTTTCATCCCCTTTGACTTATTTGGTCTAGTGAGACCACACCATATAGGTCACTAATGTCAGTGCCCGTCTTACCTTCAAGTGTTGGTTTGTACAAATAAATTACAGATTTTATGAGTGGTTTATAGAACCCTTATTACAAAAGATAACATTCACAAACATTTTATTTCTCTTCAAAAATACTTGATATTTGTTTTCCAATTCTAGTTAACAGAGGTATAAATAATGAAATGAATAGCATGAGATAAGATTTGCAATTGTTTGACGATAAGGTCGGGTCAAGGAGGCCCGTATATTTAAATTCTTTTATCTTTGATCGACCCACAGAGTCTTCTGTATGTCTAATTATCTATGATACGAAATGGTGGAAAATAAATGTTTAGGAAACAATCTAAAAAAACTTTTCTTTTTTTTATAATAAATTTTTACTTTGACAATGATTTTATTCTTACATTTTATGTCATTTACTGATCCCATGTTTGTGGTTTGACATGTAAATACATAATTATGTTCTTTAAAAAAATCAAACTCCTTTAAAAGAAGGTATAAATGATAACATAAAGCGTTTATACGGACAGGAATACGAAAGTAATTTTAAAAAGAAAAATATAAACTTTTCGAAACTTTTCGAATAGTAACAGAACAATTTAAACTTAAAACCTTTTATACGAAAATTAAGGTAAAATTATTGAATACTACGAATTTAGAGTTTCGTTTTATTACAAAATTAAATATATGTTTTTCAAGATAATCAAATGTTCCATACTATAATGTCAAAGGTCATCCAAAAATAATAATAATGTAAAGCTGTAGCATAGATAACACACGAGTAATGAGCGGTGATTGGACATTAACAAACAAAACATGACGTTATTTGCTCTGACGTGCACAAGCACACTGACAATGTTAATAATTATTTAAAGGAAAACCTTCATTAAAATTTTCCCTTTTTTCTCTGTTGTCTCCCATTTTGTTACAACTCTGTCATTACAGAGGTCAACGGATTGCAATATAATTTGTGATAAAAAAGATCTCAAGATTTTATTTGTCCATTCACTTTAAGATTCATTCGCAAACTATCATAGAATAGACACAAGTTTTGTGAAAATTGTCATGAATAGAGAGACACGAGTTTGTTTGTTCCTATATATACTTAGTCCCGACTACAAACACGCCTCTTTTATTCTTCTTCCTTTTCTAATTTTGTAATTGTACGTATTACTAATATCACTAATATTGTGATGTGTGTACTGTACTATTTTATCGTTCAGCAACACCGTCACTTTGGGGATGCATGCCTAAAGGCGTGTTTCTTCTATTCTTAAATATATATACTGAATGCACGTGTCATCTGTGATTCGGAAATAACATATTGTACGAGAAATTCATGCAGCTTATAGCGATACATTCCTATCTCTATATAAACATATTTATTTTTCTCGGTTGTTCATATTTGATAAGGTACCGCTGTCTTGTTTGAAGATGTTCCGTAACTAAGTGTTAAAGGTGACATTTTAATAAAATATAAATTGCTTCTTATCAGATTTAGAAAATGTCAATAGATCTGTTTTGAATATTGAAATATTATCTATTGTATTTGATACTTCGTTTGTGGTATACCGTATATATTCAAAAACATACACATTTACATTTATCTCTATATTAAAATATTCATAATTATAAAATCTGGAGCTTTTATATTTTTGCGGTGAATATACGCTAACAATATTTTTCATCATCTTCTTTATATTTCATACACATTTAAGCAAGCTGTAATTTCAAGTGTCAAAGTTTCGTAAATAATGCAAAAGTCCTATATTATTCTTTCACAAAGAATGTCAATTTTAAGGTAAGAAACACTTCTGTACGTACAATATGTTCGGAACTCGTTCTCAAAAATTGCGTTGGAAAGTAGACACAGTTTTTGTATCATTCACGAATTAAAAACGTATACTTTGTTCGTAATATAATGATTAATGTTTTGAGTTAATCTATAAAACTATAATATATTTGATGATTCAGCAATTTTACCTGACCGTTCTCACAGTTGTCTCGCGGCGTTATGTCATCGTGCGTTTAACAGACTAGGTAAGACACGATGTGAAGTGGGTTCACACACAGTTAACATATCGATCATTATCAATGTCACAAATCACTTTTATCCGACAGCTTTAAGTATTAGTTAAGAAAAAGTTATCAAACTTTAGTTCGGATTACTAACTCCGGGGAAAAGTATTTATTCTACTCCCCTACACGTAAAAATAAATACGAGAATTGATCTAAGGGCCTGGAAAAATAAGAAAATGTCACTCAAAACGAGTTATTTTCTAATATTCCAGATCTCCCACTCTGCCGCATTATAAACCCAGGTATCAAATAATTTTACCATTTGACAGTTCAGATTTCGAATTGACAAACAGATGATAAAAAGCAGGGATTATGTGACGAGTTTCGTTTTCTTTCCATGGCTTTTGATCAATGACATTATTTTGTTTCTAATAATGTAATCCTTAAATCATTACCCATATAAATCAGTTTATTTGATTTTGACTTTAAACCGTTTTCGAAGCTCAATTTGCCGGATGAATTATCAATATTAAGATGTTTTAACGTCATTTCCCGCAAAAACAAGTTCAAATCGATGCAGGTGGCACCAAGAAATTGATAAAAGAACTTTTTTGTAATTTGTTTCTCTCGCTTACATTGTCATAAAGCCATCATCGAACAATTAACAGCCACAAATGCACGCACATTTATCATTTTCTTGCAATTCATAATAGATGAGGCGATGCGCATATCTATTTAAATCGTCCTTGTTCAGTTATGATTGAAAATAATGTGAGCGAAATTGAATATTTTTCTTCATATTATTTTTGACGATATTTGTGTTTTGCTTCTCTGTCATAAACCAAGCAGATAGTGGCATTATATATAAACAATTTTAGATATCCGCAGAGTAGGTCATAGCTCATAAATCCTTTTTAAATGTAAAGGAAAATTATAATTAACATACAAGTTATTTTTTCCTTTTATATACAAGGTACATTTAAAAACTGACATAGTCATAATGATGTCGATAAAAACGGATAAACTTGGATTTAATCATTTATATCTACTTATTTACACGTACTTATTATCAGTGATAAAGATTTTTTGACAGGTTATATGGTTATATGGCTTAATATAAACAGATAAAATGCAGTTTTTTATAAATAGCCATATAACGTGTAAAAATTTTTTACAATTACTGCACAATTCTTCTATGGAAAACATACTTCAATAATTTACATAATCTATATATATACATGCATACAGATCATTAGGATTGCCCAATGATAAAAAAGACGTAACAAAATTGCAGTATTATAACTTATATAGAAAACTTCTTTTGAACGTCCATTTTAATAATTCATTTTGATTTCGATTGTTTAGATTCCACGAAAAGTTTCCTAAATGGTTTCCCTCCTCATCCATATACGATGGGTCATTTACCGTTTATGCAGCTCAACCACCCGCTTCTAGCCCCACCGGTCACTCTTGCCATGGCACAACAGCTGGGATTCAGACACGAAGGTCTCCTGGCACGAGACAGTCATACATCGGAGCATGAGAGAGGATCCGAGGAGTAAGTTATTAACACACATGAATCATTTGTGAATCTTTTATCAGTTAAAATGTCATGTAATATTACGTTTTATATTGAAAAGACAAAGGGTCTTAAAAGAAAAGATATATTTTTAAAGGTCCAATATGCCTTAAACTGGTTTTATTTTTATTTCTCAAAAGATTTCTATTTTTGGTGTCCTGTTAAAGTTAACAAAAAGATACTCATTGGTCAATTACATGAACCATCTTCTGCTTCTGATGAATTCTGACCCACTGGTACAACTATAGTGATGTAGTATTTTGTATGAAAGTCAAAATACTATTTTGATTACATTTTGCGATTATTATGACAAATTATTTCACTTTCATTGTTACTTTCTTCAAGTAATAAGCATCTAACTTGCTTTAAAGTCATTATTTAAATGTTATACAACACATGCTTTTTGCTTTTCTAATGAAGAACAAATTTATTTATTTATAATGCATAATGTGCATTTAAAACAATTTAATAACTATGGATGCCTTCCTGAAAATAAGTTATATAACCATCTGTTAATAATAACAGCATTACAGTCTTAATATTGTTAAATAATATAAATTTCACAAGATTTGTAACTCGTGTTAGTAGGCGCGTTTCCGAGGGATTGCCAGAGTAGTTAATGTTTGTATTTTTGAATTCCAGGAACGAGAATAAACACAGATCTTCTCCTCATCCAAGTGACCTCCCCTACCACCCGGCATATAACCACAAACCGCCACAGCACAAAGAGCATGAAAGTAAGAGACCCTCCATTTAGATTTATGTAACCATTGCAATGTTCTGTTAAATGTGCGTCTTTTATTCGGAGTGTCGGTTTCATTAATTTGTTCTGCTAAAATAATGTGCAATTTGCTATGAATATATGCTATATTTTATCTTATTGAACAATAAGATATACATGTATGAAGCAATAGAAATCTAAATTTAAAAATGTTTTTTTGTTTAAATTAATTTCATAGGCAACATCCCTTTGAACCTTCACATCAATGGCCATGCCGAGGACTTGCGGAAATCTCCGAGTTTAAGATCGGAAGATCCGATGAGTGACGACAACAACGATATTGATGACGACAATCCTTCGGATGACGACAAAAGCGCAGGTAAAAATACAATACATGTTGTATTTCATAAATTTGTTTAAAAAAAGTTTCAAAGGAAAGCTTAAAATACAAATTATTTTTTCTTTTAAATCAAAGTAATTTTGTGTATATACAAACATTCAATCCTGAGAAACTTGCAAACGAACATGTTTCACAGAAGTGCAAACGTCCCTAGGGGTTTCAAGCAAAAGCAGAAAAGTTAAATTACAAAAAGAAATATTCCTATGGCAAATATAACTTCAAAAAACACCGCAAATTGTTTCGTTTGCAAATGTCGCGAAGAAAATATTCATATAACATGCACGCGTTCTGGATATTTTAACGATGCGTGGATTTTGTTTTTCATCAAACGCAACTGAAACAGCGCGTGCAAGAAATTATACAGTACTACACACTGCTGGAATGAGCGAATAATTACAAGTATCTAAATGATTAAAAATATGAAACAATTTTCATGACGATTTCAATGATTTCTACCGTCAAAAACAGAAAACTAACACAGCGTGTATTCCCTTTGAACTAAACTAAATCCCTGCAACTGCGCAGTGCCATGCGCATCTGTTCTAGCTATTCCCCATAGGTTTACAGTATCAAATAAAACATTTAATAGAATATGACGATGTAAAAGAGGAAAAGAGATTCCATTCTTATTCATTTCGCAATATTGGGAAGGCGAACGAAGCGCATCCACACCCTTTGAAATCTGTGCTACGGTGTGTTTTAATTCAGATGCACCGTTTTAGACGTTAAAGTTTTCTTATAATCGTTTTTGAATGAGTGTTAGAAAGATCTTAAACTGTGAATCAATTAGATCTGATAATGAACATTTCGTTTAATGACGATCTCGCACGTATGATAGAAAAATCTTGAATTGAAAAACACAATTATGAAAAACATTTGTACGAATTCTGACTGTTTTATCTTTTTAATTTACTGTATGCCACCGTAATAATTTCCACATTTTATAACTTCAAATCTGGCTATTAAATAGATACAGACTTTTATTTTGCTGTTAGAGATGATAAGGAAAAGTGTGTTATATATTAAATTCACTTGAAATAAAGTCATTAAAACTTTTTCATGAACAGCATACAAAAGAAAAACACCCTGAAGAACTGGTTTCTTTGCACTTGCGCTAAAAAGGATTTCTTAATCTCGAATTACTTTTCCACGATATTAAAATTCCTACGCCGTTTCATAAGCTAATCCGACTGTAGAATTTACATGGACTGTACATTAGTTAATCATATAATATCCAACATAAAAGACTTAATGATACAGATCTGAGAAAAATAGAAAATACTGGTTTCGTAGTTAAAACTCTATGTTCCATATGCATTTGTAATAAAATGATTTAATTGCTATGAAATTTTGTTTGAAATGCTGTTTCTCTAGGATATCCTATTACAGGTGTAGTTATAATCAATGCATCTGTTTTGATTACATAAGTTTAAAAGTTCTGTGATCCAAGAGACAGAAAACCTTTCCGTCCGTATTGCTGACGTTTGAAATTGTGTCTTCCTTAACTATAAATTCTTGAAGATGGTTTAGGATTTTATTGAAACAAATACCTTCAATACTTTTAATTAATTGGAGGTTGGTTTTGTTTTAACATAGTTATTTCGATAGTTTCTGTATCATGAACATATCAATTTTAAGACCACCTTATTACAATATAAATACACTATAAAATGGTTGTTACAAACGTTTTACCCTTATTCAGATTCCTTAAATAATTATAACCCTTTCAACTGAAGAATAAATGGATCTAATTTCTGGAACTTTGAAACCCATAAAACAGGCAATTTAGTATTGAAATATATCTGATTTCCTTTCATTGTGACATTCATTGTTTTTAAAAATGGTAGTAATTTTTAAAAATATATATATATATTCTCTAAATAAAATCTACATTTTCTTTCAATCAATCGGTAATGTACGTTTATGTTAATATATAGTTTAAACAAATTTGTTCAAGTTTGATTGTGTGGGAAGCTATAAGTTTATTGAAACACCCTCGAGATAATTCCTGAAACCAACCAGTACTAAGCAATGAGTGTAAGTTTCGTACTCAAGGAAACAACGGCTAGCCTCTGACGGGGTTTTGAACCCATGCAGCTAACAATCTTCAGATTACTAGTCCAACGCTTTAACCACTCGGCCAACAATCGTTAGATTACTAGTGCAACGCGTTAACCACTCGACCATGCATCTTTAATTTTTATCGTTATCATTGTGGGAATTGATATAAAATGTCCCAATGTCATGATCTCGTACCCTATGAACGCTGTATGAATATGACATTTACGATCTATAGCACAATTAAGGAGCATCTCTTCTATTATCGCTGTATTAATACGCAGTTCAATTGTCGAGCGAAATAGATGAAACTGGCAGTAAATTTATTAATTCCTATTTCCCACTTTCATATGCAATAAAGCACGGTACGATAATTTCTTCAATTCATTTCTGATAGATTTCGACGCCCGCAATTTTCTACACATTCAATTGTATTCAGATCTCCATGAAACGGATTAATTTCCGTGGGTAAATTGTTTTAATCAGATATTGTTAACTCTGTAATAATTTTCAATCACACTGTTTCGACTTGCTCCATTACAAATGTAATAAAATGTCCATTCGAATCAATGTTTAGTTGAAAGCACGAAAAGTGGAATTAACGGCACGCATGCTGGATTCCGAGAAATATAAATTACAGATTTCCCAGCAATTCCATTGCGCATGATACGATTTACCCGACACTTATTAAAAACAAATTGACATACTTTCTACAAAAATAGATCAAAGTATAAATTAATAAAGCTAAATCATTAGTTAAATTGCGCGTAATATTCGTGTAGTAAAGTAATACACACATGAACATGATTTCGTCAAAATATATAATATAAAGACACACGTGATGCGCAAAAAAAAAACGTTCTAGATGGAATATTTATCACCTGTATTTAACGTTAGTCAGAGTTTTACATTTCAATGAATCATTTCCTACAAATGTCATTAAAACTCTCTTTTTGAGTGGTTTTGTAAACTTGCTGTAAAAGTGAAATTCTGTTTTAAACATTAAGGACTGATAATGATTCTTAAATTGTATACAAACACACACATAGATAACCAAACACCATTATCAAGTTTAAAATATAGGTAATTTTGAATTACAAAACCTCTAATTGTATTGAATTAAATTCCAGCTGATAGTGGCGACCTCATGGATACACTGTCTCAGAGTGAGCAAGGGGAGAGAACTGCACAAAGTCCTCACAACCCAGGCAGTATGAGTAACGGGACTTTGTCAGGCTATTCTTCAATAGAGACATTACTTCTAAATATTCAGGGTTTATTAAAAGTTGCCGGGGAAAATGCAAGACACCAGGAGAGACAAATAGGTAAGGGACGCTCTTACGTACTTACACAATTTGATACCATATATATGTTGCAGACACACTTTATGTAGTCGTATAATTTGACAAGTCATGTCATCATTTATATTAGTTTTATAAATTAACATCCCACTACATGTTTTATGTTATTTTTTACTTGATTATTTTGGGTGGGTGTGGAAACATGGACAAAACAAGCCGACACACTGTATTAGCGTATTTAGCTACTAGGCTAGATACATACATGTATAGTAAGGTGGTATATAGTGTCTCTGGCTGAGCCAAGTAATAAACTCAATTTATGTTAATAAAATGGTATCTCTTTAAAACACAATTAATGCGAACTGACTGTTTTGTACTTGTGACTCAAGTATCACCTTACATTCTTTTTTTTCAGGTGATCTTAAGGCAGATCTAATCCAGGAAAAGAAGGCGAGAGAAGATACCGAGAAACAGTTGGCTGAAGAACAGAAGCAAAAAAGTAAGCAGACGACAAGACTTGCATCTTTTGTCTAAACGTTGATGCGATTTTATAGCGCATATTAGATCCACCGTACATTGCATTATGCATTGCACATGTAAGGGCCACCGTATAGTGCATATTACGTATTGCACATGTTAGATCATCCATCACAAATTGTGTATTGCGCATATTATATCCATCATACATTGTGTATTGCGCTGATAAGTCTCCGCGTACATTGCGTATTGCGCATGTTAGATCCATCATTCATTGTGTATTGCGCATTGCGCTAATAAGTCTCCGCGTACATTGTGTATTGCGCATGTTAGTCTTGTTAAATCAACCGCAAATTGCACAGTACACTGTGTATTGCGCATATAAAATGCCCAGTAAATTGCGTTTTGCGATTATAAGATCTACAGTGCATTTAATATCACTTATTTTGCATATAAGATGATCAGTACATTGTATATAATGCTGTAACCGCCTGATTCCTTCTTCAAACTATTGAAAAACCATAAGTAGTTAAAACGTGAAAAATTAATCTCGAGAAAGTACTAGAGATTACATGAATTTCATTTTCAATTATCTGTAATTTTAGTATTTTGATGTTTCATGATTCGATTTGTTTTACTGAACTTATCTGTAACAATTTCTAGTCACAATTTCAAGACCTTTACTTGTGTTCTCTCTTCACTTTTTTCATAAACTATCATAAACTATCATAATGCTTATTAAGATACGAATATAATCACTTTTAGACAATTTCAAACTTCAATTTTTACTAATATTCAATATGTTTCATCTATACAGATATTCTTTTGCGGCGTTTAAAGAAAGAGAGGCGTGTAAGGAAGCGACTTGAGGAAAAGGTACCAGAGAATATGGTCAACCACGTGACCCAGAAACAAGAAATAATCCCAGTAAATAACAATGAGAAAATACAACCACATAAACAGATATCTAGTGGTGAGTCCTTTTGTCTAATTGATGTCAAGAAAATATCGTGATTTTCAATATAAGTTAGAAATTTCGATATAAAAGTAAAGAGAAATAAATACAGATTATTACAGATTTTTTCTCTGCAACAAAAGAATTTTACATCCTACAGTTTTTAACGCATAGCATCTATCTAGATGACGTACACTTTGGACAGGACAATCAATATGTAAATATTGAAGTTTCAATAAAACTAACTTAACGAAATTCACTTTCCTTTCTCTTTCCTGTAATTATTTTAAATACGTATTTATATTATATTGCTATTTTTTATCAAGGAAAATGTAAATATCACTGGCTCGTCTATTGCCAACTTGCTAAATCCTGTTATTTTGCTGCCTTTTTGTTAATCTTATTAAACAGTTCTAATGACTTTGATTGCAGACGAAGATAATCACGAGCGACATAGTAATTCCAGCAACACGCATGCGCATGACACCGGAAACAGGACACCCGTGACTCCGATACCGCAGTATCCTCAATTGTGACTATAAAACCTAATTTGAGAAATGCAGACTCATTCAGACACTCATATTCTAAGTTAAATAAATGCAGGATGTCTATTGGTCAATAAACGTGACATTGAAGACACACGTGCATTCATGTTTATACGTGACATCGAGGACACACGTGCATTCATGTTTATATCAGACAACCGAGGTTTTACTAACATATTTCTTATGTCAAAAAGACGTTAAGAAATTAAAATGTTACTTTCAAGAAGAGAACAGCTCTGACCAAAACTGTCTCGGCAGACGACAAAACACAGAGAAAATCTGCATTTACTTGCTCGTGCATAGGCCACAATTGTCGTAAAATGCCATATTGAGCCAACGCATGGATGAACGATTTGATGTATACAGAATAGACAAAATTGAGTCGTTTTTGTCTTAAATATATAAGTGTCACAAAACTTTAGCGTTCCCTATTCGGGATTTTTCTTTACACAATATTGAGAAACATGTTGATTTACACATTTTGTATGTTATATAAAATATCATGCATTTTTGTTCATTGCCAACTGTGAAATGTTTTATATATAAAATATTTTAGACATCCTATATGTGTATTTCCAGTAGAAACTACTACTTTTATTATTATTATCTGTACTTTTTGTATGTAAATTGTTGTTACGTAAATGTGAAAATATTTTCAGTCGTCAATAAAACGATGAATTAAACTATGTCATTTATCTATCCTGGTAGTACAAGTATATCACTTACAAAATCACAGTTGTGTCATTACCATACATATATATGTAAACCATCAAAATTTATTTAAAGACGTCTACTATATAAATAATATCAAACGCTACCGCAAGAACGAAATGTTCACCAGAGATAAGAAATATTGTTTTTTTTCTTCATGTGTTTGCTAAATAAAAACCTAAAAGAACTTACTAAAATAATTTCAGTAAATGTAGACGATGCACACTGATTTAATAAACAAATACGTTATTACTGTATTAATCCAAGAAAGAAAGTTAAAACAATCGTCAGTAAAACGTTAGACGATCCTCTGACGTCACATAAGACTAGTAAATAAATCAGGTTTATTTTTTTTCTTTCTTCCTTTTTTTAGTTGGGTTTTACGTCGCATTTAGTATATGTGAAATTGCGACTTTCCAGCTATACTGGTGGAGGAAGACCTCAGGTGCTCCTTTGTGAATTATTTCAGGCACAAACGAGCACAGTAGACCGACATTCCGTAAGATATCTGGATAGCTTTCTCACGTGAAAGAAAGACGATGGCGTGTATTGAACCCACAGCGGTGAGAGGCAAGTGGTTTGTAGTCAATGCCCTTAACCACCAGCGCCCAAAATAAATCATGTAACGTCTAATTAACACCTAAATGCATAATATAATACAAAATAACATATGGTCTCTAAGTATATGCAACAGAAGATATTATGTTTAAAGTTCCAGATTTCTGCTGATGTTAATTGTTTGATCATTATATAATTGACAGTATAATTGTTTAAATGAATGATAATCGATAAATTTTGATCGAGAAAGATTTTGTTGCACAGCCTTGTATTAATTCAGATTTAGGGCGGGTTCTCTCTTTGAACGGACACTGCTCGCTTAAAGGTGCATTATGCTTCAGAAACAAATAAATTATTACATCTTTAGAAAGGGCAAACATGAATTCTATAATGTTCAAATAATAGTTTTACAGAATGTTAGAACCTTGTTTCCTGAAGAAAGTAGCGATAATTCTGAAATAATTTGTCATAAAAGTAGTAAAATGTAAACAAAGTAGTAATTTGACTTTATGTAAAATACTAATTCAACATAACTATACTTATTGCCAAAACACAACAGATGAAAAAGATGGTTCCGGTAATTGGCCCATGAGTAACTTTTAGGATGTTTTGAAAATCAAAAGTTGTTGAGAAATAAAAATAAAAGCATTTCTGAGGCATTATGAGCCTCTAATAAGAAACAAATCATTTATACACAATGAACCATAATTGATCCTTTAAATGCTTAAAATCGACCCCTTCATACTTAATGACTTCAGCAATAAACTAAGTATTAAAGCAAATCTACATGTAAAAGCTGGATATATTAAAACAATACATTCATGCAGGTTCAACTTTAATGGCTTGGTTAGAAATTATATAAATGACATATAAAATGACGTAAAATCCGTTAAGACGTTAACGCTCACGTAACAACTAACGTACATAGTAATGCATATAAATTAAAATACAAATTTACAATTTTAGAATACATGTACTAGTATAAAACGATCTTTTCAGTATTAAATTAATAAACATTTAAAATTAAAAAGGGGGGCAATAACTCGTGAAATGCGATTTAAATGCTTTATACATATACTTTCGAATTATGACTACAAATAGACGATGTTCAAATCTATAGTCCCCAATTTAATTTCATATAGAAACGATTAAAACTCAAGATGACCTGTTTTATAAGACCATCTGTCAACAAGGATCCACAATATCAGTTTATTTCTACATCATTAACTATATAAATACCTACCCTGCTGTTCTCTCCAATGTAACAAAGGTGTAAATGCACGTGTTAGGAGACGCTGAAGAAGTTGACGAACTGACTACGTCAAAGTTCAGGATGACTACAAACATAATAATTAATTTTTTTAGAAATATGTTTCCGAATCAAAATACAATCATTTCCAATTGAAAAATACATACATATTTTCCGTATTTAAAAACTTGTATTGATCGAAGTATTACGTCACGAATGGCAATTCTGTAGGATTTATCATTCTTGCAACTTATATAAATCATAATAATCACTTTCCTGTCCTGATCATTGAAAGAAAATAATACTAATGAAATATGAATGGCACAGATAGGACTCAAACACAAAGTTTTTGGTTGTGTGGCAGACAGTTTTACCACTAGGCAAACGCCCCTCCCCTTAACATATATCATTTGAAGGTTCGTTTTGTAATGGAAACATTTTATAAGTTGTATTATCATTTTTAGAGTAATACTATTGACATATGAGTAAAGGTTGTCATGACCAAGTAAGACTCAACACAAGTTTTCTGTTGTGAAGCAGACATATTTACCAGTAGAAAAATTCCCCCTCCCTTTTAACAGATATCATTTTAAAGTTCGTTTTGTAATGGAAACATTTTATAAGTTCTATGTAATAGAAAGAGCACCGAAACACGAGGTTATCTGATTTGTACGAGGGGGCGTAGCCCCCCCGAGTATTAATCAGATTACCGAGTGTTTTGGCGTTCTTTCTCTTTTGTATCATTGTCAAACATAAAAACACGTTCCCTGTTGTTACAATATGAAACCCCGGCAAAAATGAACCAATGAACGAGCATCTAAATATGACATTTCTGTCGATTTCACTTTCACTGCCGTCACAATATGTAAACCCCAGCAAAAATGAGCCAATCAATGGGCATGCTCTGGAGTGCGGGTAACTAATACCCGCACTCCAGTTAACGCACTGTGCATGTATATGTATACGATTTAACCCTGACACATTTTCAACAGAAAGGTCCCCAAACTATGATACAATATCACTTTAATGTATAAAGATGTGCACTAACTCTTAGTCTGTGGCGGCAACTGATTCTACCTACGCGATCAGTGCACAGAAAAATAATCCAGCTCACCCGTGCCGTAGGTTGTAACGTCTGCACTGTTTGCTATTCAGCCAATGCTTTCTTTTTACATTTTCCTTAAATGCTGGATAAATGTGTCTAGACTGAAAAAAAATAGTCCATTTAAGATATTTAGTGTTGGAAAGGTAAATTAATCAATTGGATCCATCTGAGGTTGATACCATATTATGTTAATCCAAGAAAGGTAATCTCTACATAGGCGATTCCTTTGTTGTAATGCCAAGGTCACACTGTCCAGAAATAAAACACACGACTATAAATTCTTAATATCGTCCGAATTTGATTTGCAGCGAGCCAACATCCAAAGCAAGTACTGTGCCTTAAGAGGGTTCCTCGAGGTCAACATCCAAAGCAAGTACTGTGCCTTCATAGGGTTCCTCGAGGACACTGAAATAAGACACTCGAGAGCACGAAGATGATAATTTTTTATACGGGATGTTTATACTCGAGGATTGTGAAGGCCAAACGGATAGTACCTAATTGCTCCACAACGATGCATCGACATGACGATACATACGAACTAGGTCAGAAAGGTAACGCGACATTGCCATAATGCAGAACTTTACATCTTATTACCGATTTAAATGTCCAGGGTTCGCGAGTTATACCCTAGCCACTTTAACTAAATTTACTAACAAGTCCCCGGATGATACATTAAAAATCAGGCCCCATGTAATGTTGGCTCACAAGAACCAGTAAATGTTGTTTCCATTGAAATGGAGTTTTGTACTTTGCTCCAAAAATCAAAATTATTACTGTCTTCTGAGGGAGCCGCATATTTTTTTCGAGTGCCGCCTATAACAAAACGTATCTCACAGAAAATATAATTGCTGAAAAGAATACACAAAACTAGTAAATAAACAATTGAATTGTCACTTAAATTTTGAGTTTTATATTTTATGCCCCACTCAAAAAGTTAGAGAATTTTGTAATATACTGCTCCGTCCATAAGTCCTGTTATCGTTTTCCAAAGAAATAAACGGTGGTTAATGTTGCTTTGCAGGGACATTGCTAATAGTACGTAAATGACCCTATGGATTTTAACGTCAAAGATCAAGGACACACTGACACTTGGTGTAAAAAGCCTTTTCCTATCAATAACCTGAGAAGATTTAAGTAATTGTTTAAATAACTTAATAATCTGGAAACAAAGTGACCCCTCGGAAGCATTAATCACAACAAAATTACATGAAAACTGCACTCGGTTTGATTGAGTCTGTACATGAGGGATAACGAATAAGTGCAACATCCCTCACGCCCGCTAGCACCGGCTTTAGCGGTACTCAATTCTCAACATTTAATAGTGCTGGCATCAATGATCCCGAAGGACCAGAAAAATATAACAACACTGATGTGAAGAACGGGTTAACTTTTTAGTCCGATCAATGCCAAGACCACAATGACCCTTAGTGTAAAATCCATGTCAGACCAATATCTTCATACGTAATAAGCCGTGCTTTATTTAGCTAAGCAGGGACTTGATCTGAAAGAAATTAGGTCACAGTACAATCATTTTCCGACAAATTACTTGATAAGAAATAAGCTTTTGTTTATGTTATTTGGCAGAAACCTAGGTCAAAGATGCTGGTCACGGTGATTGAACTTTGTCCGATCAATAACTTAGAAAGAAATAAGTTATAGATTAAAGTGATTAGGCAAAGAAAGAAAAGATAAAAAATTAAACATACCTTGTCATTTCTCCATACCCCCTTTGATCACATTTACATTCTGCTCCTCCTCGTTCATCCGGTTGTAGTTAATAGCTGGATAGCTTAGTGTGATGAGATTTTGTATGATCACACAAGTTGTGATGCTTTGTCTACATGACTCTGGCATATGATTCGTTGTTCTTTACAAAACTTTAAACTTCCAAAATCATCCTCTGTAGTGTTGAATAGAAACGTCATCGCCACGTCGTAATTGTTTTGATTGTGGTATTTTTGTTTTCCTCCATTTGATCTTTTCCTAAATGGGTTGTTCCAGGTCTCGTAATTGAACAACTTATAATACACTTAGAATATGTTGCACAATTCTCAAATTTTGATGTATGTCTG